TTAACCAACGTAAATGAGTTTTCTTGTGTGTAAAGGAAGCTTTGGGCGTTGTCAATTTCGTTTTTCATGAACTAGGATAAAATGTTTCGTTTTCTTCACATGGTGAAGTTTCCATTTGAGCCTCCTTCCATCTCATATCGTTCCTCACCAAATCTCGAGGAATATTTATTTATGATGAAACACGAAAGAATTCTTTAAACCCTTGAGGATTGAAATTTTTCCTTCGTCTCACAACATCGCTAATTAGATCTGTTATGTTTGATTATGGAATGGTGACTCCCTCAAGTTTGACTTGTCCCGAACCGTCTTAAGATATTATACTCCGATGTGTTCTAAGACGCTGCAATATTGCTTTCGCCCGCTCACGCATAGTTTTTGGGCACACTTTGTACAGTGACAGAGTCAACTAATTTCTGATTTTCATTGTCGCTTATTGAGTTTTTTTCATTCCCATCAACAGTGTCTACCACGCGTACCATGGGCATCTGATTATGTTCTGTTGCTTCAATTTAAGAAATTGTTCAAAGTTTGCGCTAAAAAGTTTTTGTTTTTGATCGCCACTCACGTCGTCTTGTTGAAGAATATGTGAGAGCTGCAAATCTTTATTCATCATATTCATCATGATCGGAGTAGTTTCAAGTTTTTGTTGTTTTTCGTATCTGTTAAATACATCTTCAGGAACAAGATTCATACGTTTGACATGTTTCATTTTGTGGACAAACTTCCCAATACACTTATAACAGGTGGCAGTAAAGCAGTCGGTAAATTTCCTCCCTTCTGATTCAAACGTTCTTTCTTCTTTGCTCGTGAGATTTTTTGTTAGCCTGCGCTCTCAGGTGTTTTCTTGAGCCTTGACAACAGTCGCTTTTGACTCGCATGAGATAATCGTATGCGCGAGTCGTAGCGTCTTGAAACGACTCCAAAAGGTAGTTGACATTTTTAGTGTACATTTGACGGGCCAAAGTTGAAATACCCAGAGAATCTCTCAGGTTTTTAAAAGTGATCATATAATGAGAGTTAAGGCTTATCGCTCTTGATTGTTTACTAGGAGGGGATAAATTTTGCGTTAAATACATGACAGATATCCATCGATGATGTGACCCACGGGTGAATAAATCAGACATTCGTTGGTCATTAGAACATTCTGACATAAGATCGTCTATGAATAAAGAGTTTTGACATCCTTCCAAAATATCGGTCAAGTTGTCAGGGAACCCTTCCACAAAAATCACATTCGGTATCCTTTTAACCATTTCGTCAAATTCCATCTGAGGTTCGCCATAGCAGTAAATTATTATACATGGAACTGGGTAAACAACTCAATCAAGTTATTAAGCATCGACCTAACGCGATGGATCTTACCAGATTGACTTTGCTCGCAAATATAAAAGTTAGCTGGTGTTTTAAAACGCACGTCCATTGTCTTGCAAATGAAAACAGAATTGTTTTACAACAGACTAAATACCATCTTGCATGTATCAATTAAATATACTCTATAAACAAGTTAAATACTTAATGAACAAGAAGCTGATTGGATGTTCGGCTCTAAAACACTGAGCACATAAGCAATCGCAAACATTTGCTTTCATCAATTGATTGGTTAATCATGTCGTTCACATGGCAAGACGTTGTGAAAAGTTGGGTTTCTTCAACTCAAGTAAGCAATAGTTAGCATTGTATAAAAGATTTGATAAGGCATTTGGCATATGCCAATATTATTCTAACAAGAATTATTAACATTCAAAGCCCTCACATCATTCTATTGGCACAAATAATGTTGGAAACCTTGGATCGTGTCTCAGTACCAAGAGCAATGCAACATCCAACATACTTCGTTTATCATGCAAATGCAAAAGAAGTAATGGTCCACGACCTTCAAGTTTGAATTGCGAAAATATCAGACAGTTGGAGAATGATGAGGGTGTAAATATTGATCATTATTATAAATTGAACATTGAAAATATGATGGACATGGATTAACTACTTTTAAATCTATCTTTGAAAATATTAATACGATGTCAATCAGCGTTAAATTAATAATTACTATTAAACCTTCGATAAAAAGAAACGTTATATTCATCTTCATACATTTTAATGTCGTTTATAAATGTTTTATCATATTCGTTCTCTGATTCAAAATCCATATCTTCCTCGTCGTCAGATTCCAATAAACTAATATCGTTTGCGTTTTCTTCATTCTTAAAAATCATGTCACCGTCATCGCCATCCTTAACATCATCATTATACACCAAAATGTTTTCCATTTCTTCATCACTACATGTCTCATCGTTGGCTTTGTCATCAACACAGCTATGATTTTTTCTACACTCTAGTGCAGTGGGCTGTACCATTGTATAAAGCATTGAATCGGGAAGTCGTATAATGGGCTTTACAGACGGACTAGCAGAGTTAGACGTTGGTGACCAATATTATCTGTAAGGTATTGTGCTTCACCAGAGTTGACAATTATTTTTTTGTCGTAGACGATCTGATACTGCTTTACGTCTTTCTTGTTGACAAGCCGACCGGTCCCTTTTTCTCGTGTTATTTTACTGTTATTTACAACATCTATTTTATCTTTCTTATTTTCGACATCTGAACGTGCATAGCTACATATCATTTCATACATAGAATCAAAATTAAGAATTTGGCTATTTTTAAAATTCAAAGTAAAACCCCGTATCTCACCATGTTTTCCTCGATTATTTACAACTTACTCATAATTTTTTGGATCCCCACATACAAATCTTGTAATGTAACTACCTACCGCATGTTCTTGAGTGATTTCGTTTGTTAAAGTATCCAGGTAATCCTCTAAGAGTGGCCTTGGATCCCCTGGTTTATTTACATAAATACAGCTCACGGTATAGACGTATAAAAGATTATGCTGCAACAGATCCATCACATTGTTAAATTCTAATCTAGCCCATGCAGTTGTAAAAATTCTAATAAAGATATTTGTTAGTTTGCTTTCTACTTCATACTCGCGCTTTCTCTTAAAGACAATTTCAACTAAATCATCATTCAAGGATGCAACGTCGTGCATTTCAGTGTCGGCCCCGTTCAAACGTCTGTAGAAATGTAGAGGATCATTAGTGAATTCTGTATTTAGTCGATTGTCTTTTTGACAAAATTTACCCCGCAAGCTGTTAAGACATAGCTTAGCCAATTCTTAAACCTGGATTGTACTCTATTTTATCATGCCTTAACAGTATTCCCTCGTTTTCATAATAGTCGGCCATGTATTTTTGTCTGTCCTCGGGAGTTTGTATACGACTCGGAAATCCTGAACTCTCTTGCTTTATACGGAGAAAATAACTCACATAATCCGAAAACAAATCTGAGCTTGTGTTTTCAAAGTGCCAAATTTCAAAAATTTCAATAACCTTAAATCCTTTTTCAATAGCTTTCAACATATGGCTGTTATTGCAGTTTTGTTGCAAGAGAGAGCTGTGGATGTCATGCTTATGAAATGGTGAGCTGTAATGCCTTTCTCTCTAAATTTATTACTTTTTTCACTTTTAACTATTTTGATGTTTTTCCAACCATACAAGATCAATGAAACAAAGAAAATTTACTGTCTTGAAATAAAAGACGTAGATGATTGTTTCGAAAAAATATTCAAGCAAGCAAAACGAATGGCAACTCAAGTAGAAGTATAGCCATCAATGCCAAAAATAGCTAAAAACAAAGACACCGAAAAAACATTCCGTCAGAAACTCCACAGGATTACTATAAGAGAAATTTCGCCATTCCCTTCCTTGATCATATCATCAATTATTTGGATCATAAATTCTCGGGTAATAACGCTCAATGAAAAAGGCCATGTGATAAAATTTTGTATATTTTTTCGTTTCAGATATGAGAACTACCGCTGCTTCTTTGCTTGGACTAGTGCCGTCGGTCTTGTGTGAGAAAGATATGGACTCGGAAGCTGTGATAAATCCTTATGATAAATTTATAGCGCAGCGACATGCCTTCTCCTGAAGTCATTCATCAAGAACTAAGGCGTTGGAAATTTCAGTACGAAAAATTAAGCAAAAAAATTAACAAAATTGCATTTCACTACTTTCAAATTACTATCTTCAAATTACGTTAAGGACAGTTTGGTCCCACGTACAACATTCAACAACAACAATTTGTCTTTTACTCTAACTAAACAGCAACACCCTTTCAAACGTCACTTCCTGCTCCTCATTCCGTCCAAAGCGGCAATTCATACGGTAGCCACACCGGCCCCTAAATGGAAATCGCAAGGTATTAATGCATTTACAACCATATTAAGCTACTGTTAAATCTGAATAACACAACAAGAATATAACTCTCAAATTCTAAATTATTTAGATATATAAACTTTAATTGTCCATCTCAAGTAGACATAATTTAGTCACGGGACGAATCAAGGTTACCATGTTCATCTTGTAAAATCCCTTTCGTTGATGTTTGGCTCTGGTCAATACTGTTGAGCTAGTTTTAACCTTCACTGTCCGCACCTAACCGTCATTACTTGCTATTGCTTCTATAACGAGACCTAACGGCCATTGTCCCCTTGGGTAGTTTTCGTCAGCTACAAGTACTAGATCTCTTTCTTTAAGATTCCGTCTCGGTGTATACCATTTCTTTCTCTCCATTAATGTTGGTAAGTATTCTTTAAGCCATCTACGCCAAAAAACATTTGCCAAATATTGAGCCTGCTTCCAATTCTTCTTACATCACAAATCATTTTTTGTCAAATAATCCCGGGGGTAAACTAGTACTTGCTCGTAAATGCAATAAGTGGTTTCGAGTTAGAGGGCCGTCATCGTCAGGACTGTCACTGTTGCGCGTGAGAGGTCTTGAATTCAGGATCAGAACCACCTCTGCACCCTTTGTCCTTTGAGGATATGTCTAACAGATCGTATAATTCTCTCCCATACGCCTCCCATATGGCTCGCTGAAGGCGGGTTAAAGTTCCACTTAATTCTTCTTTGCGTACAAAATTTGTGAACTTTACTTTGATTCTACTCTTCAATTCCTTTGTTCAATTCCTTATTAGCACTCACAAAATTTGTTCCTCTATCACTCCTGATTTGCTCGGGACATCCTCGAATGCCTATAAATCTCTTGAAAGCGTTGATCATCGAGTCTGTATCCAAGGAATGAGCTATTTCTATATGGATTGCTCGGGTCGTGAAACATGTAAAAAGGCAGCCATGTCTTATAACCAATGATCTACCTCTTTTCACCAGCATGGGTCCAAAATAATCGATACCTACATTAGTAAAAGGAGGTTTTTGAGGTGTCACTCGGCTTTCTGGTAGATGTGACATTAGCTGCCCACCCAAATGAGCCTTTCTTCTTTGACAAGCCAGGCAACTTCGTACAACGCGTCGAACTGCTGTTCTTCCTTTAATTATCCAGAATTCCTTTCTTAGTGATGATAAGACGGATTCTTGACTCATATGACCTACTTCAACATGATGTTGCCGAATTATCATGTTTGTGACGGGATGCTTGAAGGGTAGAATAATAGGATGTTTTGATTTTCCATTGATTGGCTCATTACCAAGCCTGCCTCCAACCTTTAGTAAGCTGTTCACCATCATTAGATTTATTTGTCGAATGGAGATTCCTGATTTTCCGTGTAGTGCCTTGTCAAGCTCATTGCTATTTCCTGGAACTGCAAGCAGTTTCAGTCCTTGAGAGAATGTGGTGTTCTATACATGTGCGAAGATCTCCCTTTCGGCGGCATCCATGTCTTCCGTTGTTAGTCGTCCAACTTTAAATTCCGATTCCAAATGAGGACCAAAAATAACTTTCTTTTGTCTCGCCTTGCTAAGGAGATAATCCCTATAACGGAACAACCAAGCGTGAAATCAACATATCCAAGAAGTGAGGCTGTTCTGCAGTCACGTAAATTTGAGCTTCCTTCTTTACTTCTCAGTTTTCATCCTTTAATTCAGGAATTGTTATCCCCTTCGGCCAATGGCTTTCTTCCTCCCAAAGGAATGCAGGACCTTTTAACCATTGGCCTTTGTTTCTCAATACGTCCAACATAACGCCTTTGGAGCCTTCATCGGTTAACGCAATTCCACTCGGATGGGGCGATACACTACAAATCACTGACAAACTGTTGGACTCGAATGTGTGAAATCTTTTGCTTTCGTTGTTAATACATTTGAGGAATGACATTGAATCTTTCCAATAACAAACTCTTTGCACTACCAAATCCAATTCTTCTCGAATAATCTTTGAAAGACTTACGGAAATGACGGCAGCCGTTAATTCGAGTCTTGGTATAGAAATCTCCCTTAATGGAGCAAGTCTAGCCTTCCCAATTACAAATGAGCACTGTATTTCGTTGTTTGCATTCTTTAGACGCATATATGCCACCGCCGAATAGCCAAGTCGAGAGGCGTCGGAGAAAATATGCAGACTCACATCTTTAACTTCTTTGAATCCTGCAGGCTTAAAACAGCGGCGAACCCGAATTTCTTGTAGCTTTGGGGGATCAGCTACCCAACGTTTCCAATAAGAAAGTTCGTTCGCCTGAATGTGATCATCCCATCCAAGTCCCTTTCTACAAAGTATTTGCAGTATTAACTTTGCTTTCATAACAAACGGAGCAATAAAGCCTAAGAGATCGAAAAGTGAATATACTTCTGACACTATCTTCCGACAAGTGACGGGACCTTCGTTTTCTAACTGCTTTTTCTAACGGCTTGAGGAGCCGTTTTTTCAAAAGCAAGCCTCTGCGTTCTGCGATTATTCTATTATTGGGTAAGGAGGGCGGTTTCTTTCGCCATGGCAGAGCAACTTGAAAATGATTATCCACTACTATTAGCGTCTCTTCCATTATTTGAAGCGCTCTCTTGTCTCCAAGCGACGGACACACTTTAGTTTCAACTAGGGAGCCCTCAAAGTCGGTCCTCCGCAGTCTTTCCAATTGATACTTGAGGTCTTCCTTTTCCGTTTCATCAACCACATTGTTAGTGGCAGAGTCAGGGGCATCAATTTCCAATCGTGCAAGATTAGCCGATGCACAACGTTCATTTCGGTAGGCGACAGGACCAATCACTATCCATCCTAAACTGTATTTAATTGCCACTGGATCCTTCTCCTCTCCCAATTTATATTCCAAAGGTAGAAACAACTTAGGATTTCGCGCAGTCCGATAGCCAGCATAACTTCACAAGTCTCTAACTCGTGCAACGGAAGATTGCGTAAGTGCGGCCATTTTCTTATGTCACCTCTTTTTGCTATACAAGACTCTGAAATTGGTATTTGGTTCACCGTTCTGACATTTGGTAATTCAGTCACTGTGCTGTCATCCATAGAACTTACTACGATATCCATTAATTCACTCTTTAATTCAGTCGATCCAGTCATCCCTGTCAACATGAAGTCAAGCTTTCGCCCAGTTATTCCAAGTTGATTTTGCAAACGTTTATGACAAAGTGTTACTTCTGAACAGCTATCCATTAGTGCGTAAGTTCTGACTGACGGTCGATTGTTCCTCTTGCTTTCACTTTCAGTGGGACAACGCTAAGGCACACGCGATTTCCGGCCCAAGTTGCAACTGCTACCTTTACTTCATCTGGACTTCCCTCTTTGTTCGGTTCCCTCTTCTTATTTGTGCTATTTCATTCACACAGCTTGTCCTTTGAATCCTCCTTGCTGGCCGTATTCATTTGTGGTGGATGTAACAACGTATTGTGGCCCTTTCCGCATCCTTCTACTCGACATTTAAAATTAGTCTTGGGACAAGATCTGACATAATGCCATCTAGTGAGGCACCTGAAACAAAGTTCGTGTTCTTGAACAAACTTCTTCTTTTCGTGATAAGGAAGTTTGTTAAACTTATCGCATTTCCATATCCTATGGCCTTCTTGACAAATGAGGCATTTCATGTTTGATGTTCTCCTTTCTGTAAAGTTTTCATCTCTACCGTTCTCTCGTTTGTACACTCCAGCTACAAACGAAATAGTTCTCGCAGAGAGACCCTTTTTCCCATCTAATCTCTTGCCTCCATTTTTCTTTACGACGCCAGAACAGAGATCTTCTCCAAATTCATTGTTCACGAGTTTGGCTCTTTTCTTCACAAACAGAAGGAAGTCTTTAAATTTAGGTGTAGAACCAGATTCGATAACAGAGCCCGCACATTCTGTCCACCTAACTCTCATAAATAGTGGTAGCTTACGATTTAATTCGCGTAGGGTGTTCATATGGTCCAGCTCGCTTTCATATTCTGGTCCCATACTAGCAAGGATTCTGTTTACCACTTCCAGATGTCGAGTTAACTCCAAAAAACTTGGTCCATCTGCTTGCTTCAATAGCGGCAAATTCATCAACTTTAGAACGTGAGCCTTTGCATTTATGTGCAGTTTGCCAAAATTTTCATACAGTGTGTTCTTCGCGATATTATAACCTTCCTGGGCAGGTAAGTTAACACAACTCTCAATAGCACCACGTGCTTTACCGGTGCCATGTTGTATTAGGAGTTGAAGTCTAGTAGAATTATCTGGATTGTCCTTTTCTAAGTCTAAAAATCTCAAAATTATGCATGAAGGAGGCATAATTTATTGCATTACCCTCAAAGTGCATATATTTGATTTTTGGCATAGAAACTACATGTCTCAAGGCTTTTACTATCTCGTCTCCTCTTCCTCCTTCCTTTAATTAGATCTGTTTAGCTTTTGTTCAATTAAGTTTGTCATAGTAGCTGATTGTGATTCGCCTTCCGACGATCTTACAGTCTGATCTGGATTAGTGTGAGTTTTCTGCGTTGGTACCTCGACTGTTTTATTTGTGGTTCGGATTGATCTACTTCAATGATTTTCTCCAAGTCCCCTACATTTCTTGGCTGGGAGGGCATGCCTTTTGTTTGCACTATCGAACTTTGCGGAACATACGCCTTTGCAAACGGAGACAGGTTTTTTGTTAGTTTTGATACCGTTACCGCTGTGGTCTTACCGTGGTCTTCTTCGAGTTCGATCTCTGCTTCTTCGCGGCAAGCGTTAAGGCTCACCAACGCTTGCTCGCTCTTCCATTTTGGCTTCCATAGCCTCCTTTTCAAATGTTAATTCTGCCATTTTCCTTTCAAGTTCATGTCGTTTCGCTAACTGATCTCTCTTCAGCGGTGCAAGGGCTAACTTTTCTTTCCTTCTGGACACTGTTGAAGACTTGGAGCTGTGGCTCCTTGACTTACTTGCTGAGCTTCTACTTGTTATCAATGAAGGCGAACTACCCTTTTTATCCTCGTTGCTTTGCTTCTAATTTGGCATTCCTTTGCCAAGATCTGACCATTTTTGCCATCTGTTCTTTGTAGCTACGACTTGCTATTTATTTAGTTCATTGTCGAACACTGTAAAGCCTACGTGTCTGAAGCCACTCTCGGATCTTGTTTTATGTTCGACAATCCGCTCATCTTGCAACACTATCGGCCAAGATTTTACTGACATAATCGAACTCCCAAAATAGAAATGACTTTGCAAGCTGCCCTAACAACTGTCAATTATTCCATATAATAATCCCAAAGGTTTTGTTGCGATATCCCATCCCGAACAAGCAAGTATAATCAGATAGCCGTTTCCTTCGAGCAATTAAATACGTCATCCTTGACGAGCGAACATAAATGAAATACACTGTCACTGACGCGCGAATATAGATGAGATTCACCGTCCCTGACAAGCGAATATAGATGAAATACACGAATATAGATGAGATTCATCGTCCCTGACAAACGAATATAGATGAAATACACGAATATAGATGAGATTCACCGTCCCTGACAAACGAATATAGATGAAATACACGAATATAGATGAGATTCACCGTCCCTGACAAGCGAATATAGACGAAATACACCGTTCCTGACGCGCGAATATATCGTTTACAAATTAACAATGGTGGTGTTTAGGTCCTCAACTGTTACTTTCAAGTCGTCATACAACTTGGGAATAAACAATTTAATGAAATATACCAAGTTACAATTTACTACTTTCAAATTACTATCTTCAAATTACGTTAAGGACCGTTTGGTCCCACGTACAACATTCAACAACAATTTGTCTTTTACTCTAACTAAACAGCAACACCCTTTCAAACGTCACTTCCTGCTCCTCATTCCGTCCAAAGCGGCAATTCATACAGTAGCCACAGTAGCTATATATTGACGTACACCAACAAATATTTACCAAATGTAGTTACAAAAAAAAATGCGTGATCCGATATAACAAAAAAAAATAACAAAAAAAAAATAATGAAAAGAAAATAATAAAAAAATAACAAAAAAAATTAACAAAAAAAACAATAAAAAAAATAATAAAAAAATAACAAAATAAAATAACAAAAAAAAATAATAAAAAAATAATAAAAAAATTTTATATCATAAAGTTTTAACGCATTTTCAAATGTAGTTAATTTACAAAAGTGGAAAAGAACTAGGAACTATAAAAAATATTGTTATAATTACATATAAGTATCTCTCGAAAATAGTCATGCATTTATAATTACATACACTTGAGTTAATTCTTTTAATGACGGAAGAATGTGGGAGAATATGTGCCTTAACACAACTTTTACGGGTGTAGATAAAAAGTGTGCGCGGATGGCGGACACGGACGCGGACGGCGGACGCGGACGGCGGACACGGATGGCGGATGGAGAAAACGGACGCGGATGGCGGACACGCACGTGGAAGACCCGGGCAGCTCTGTTTTTAATGATTGTAAGACTAAACGAAATGCATAGGCATTGCACCCAAGTATGTCATAGGCAATATGTCTTTGTTTTATGTATCCAAATATAATATTAATATACATAAGTTATTCACTAATCATTATCTAAAACATAGTTAGCTTTTCATTTCAAGCATCATTAACCATTCAAGATTTACTTGGTACAACTCTTTTAATGGGAATGAAGAACTTAGTAGCTAAAAGTAGCTAAAAAAGTGTTTTTCCCACCCGCGACTTTACGCGAGACATTTTAACCGCGACACGCGACTTTTTACCCGCGCCCCGCGACACTTAGATACACTCACAGGTCAGTGATGGATACGTGGACACAAGCGTGGGTTTGAAAATTTTAACAATTGAATATTTAACTTAATTATTTCAAATTTATGCATGCAGATTTATGATATTAAAATTACAGTATGTTATTTCTTCGTCCTATGGTCAATTAAGGTCATATGACAAAACCTTCTCGTACCAGGAAGATCAAACATTCAAATCTGAAGTTCACAGAACAATTGCGTTCCTTCTCAAAAGATAGAAGAGAAATATATTATTGAACATGAGTCGACTTTGCTGTCCCTTTCTTGCCCGTCAATCGATGACAAAGCTTCGTGCCAAGAGCTCTCTGTTTATGAAGTATGCTCCGAAGTGTCCGTTTATGTCGCGGGTCTTGAATTCGGTTCACTCGGCGAATCATCTACACTCGTCAGGTATTTACTCTTGAAATTTCTCTTGACGAAGTGGTAGCCTGAATAAATAAGAATTATATGATCTTTTCAAAGCTATGATTTCTTGTATACTGTAAAAGAAGTTTTAATTATCGAAAATCATTATCTTTGCTGTTTTGAATAAAACCCTGTGAAAACCTAATTTAGTGCTTTTAGTACAAAATTCTTTACTTGAAATAACCGAGATTTACACTTTTCGTTGATTAGCGAAGGATGTACATAAGGTATTTGTGCGGGCTGTCAAAACGAAACGAACACTCGGTAATTTCTCTTCGTCACATACGTATATATTTTACGTTTTATCCCAAGGCGTTCTTTTACATTATTTTACAACTAAACGGTTGTATTACAGTGTATAGACTCTGACCTGCCAGCGAATATTTGCCTCTGATTAACGACTATCTTTCGTTTAACGCCAGACATAAACACCAACCGTCGTTAGCAGTGGAATGCGGTGTTGTTTAAATATTATTTGTTTGTGCTAATGTGCGTTTGCCTTTTCTTTAGCTGTTTATAGGAATGATTCTGACGGAGGTAAGAGAACCACATTTCTGATTTATCAATATCAACAGACATGTTTTTTGAACCCACCTACACAAGTTTATTATTTGCATGTTATATAACCTTTTTGTTTAATGTTTGTTGTTGCTATCAACACATCCTGTCACCTATGGAATGTCCTGTTAATACTGTTGGTAAAATTCAATTGCCTTTCAACAGCATTTTCACATTATTTTATGTTTGACTTCTACCTATCTCATTTTGAATGCTAATTGCAATTACAGTTATGTTAGTGTGCAATTACAGTTAGAATATTTTGTGTTCAATTAATGGAAAAGCATGCAATGAAAATAATTTTCTAAATAAGTAAATAATGATTTTGTTGAAAAATTAGCATTGTATAGGCCACAGTTTTGGCTGGCTTTCACAATCAACCACTAACGCCAAAGTTTATTCACTATATGTAGCATTTTTTAATACTTTTGTAAAACTGTTATTTCAATGTCGGAAAATTGTATTGAAAGTATTCACAATGTTACCATTTTTTCAAATTTCATTTCCTAGTTAATCTAGTAACCCATATTTCTAAACAAATGAGAACAGACAATGAACTTTACGTAAATAAAAGTTTGTAAAGTTTGTAAAACATTAATAAAATATATATTAATATATATATTAATACTTAAAGCGTTTTGACAAACTCCAAATTGATCATGATCTCTGTAGATAGATAAAAAGCAGATAGGAGTTGTGACTTGACTATAAAAAAGGATACCATTAGGCATGTGGCACTAAATGGGTTATGTAGTCTTGAGTTGTGGTAAATCAGAATGATAAGGAGAGAGAGAGTTGAAAGTACATGTTGCCATCAATTATTATTGCTGCATTAAAAGAAGCATTTCATATATTTCAATTGTATTCCTATTTAAGGAAACTCATTTGACAAGTGTCCATTTCTGATGGATTCTGGTCTGAAAGTTCAACAACCTGATGAGGCTGTACTTAAAGACATTGTCGTAGAGAAAAGTGATAGCGGACTGTTTCAGGTTGCTGGGGAAAATACTAACAAAGGTAAATTAGAATTAAATAGATGAATGGGTATGTTTTGCAATGAAAGGTTGTTGAGTCTCAACAGTAAAACATTACTATTTAGTTTTGTTTTGAGCAATCGTTGCTCCAGAAAATTAATTGATGACACTTTGATTTGTTTGAGAAAATGATTTACCTTTAGTATTTAATCTTGATAATTTTGTATGTCTTTTAGCATCTCTCACTTGCATTTATTTGATTGTGATTGTGTCTGTTTATGGTGTTTCTCAGGTGTAGCAAAATGCCCATTTTCTTCTTCATCAAGTGGAAATTCTCCATCTGAAAAACCTGGTAAGAATAATTCTGCTGACTTTAGCAAAGACTAGAGTTAGAGAAATTTCACACATTAAGTAATTAGATTACAAAGTTATTGCCATTCAATATATGATGTAAAAAAAACAGTTGTTTACTAGAACTATTACTTATTCTCCCGAAAAAGAATGGCTTAATTAGTGAAAATGTATGAACTTTTAAAGTTTTGCTGCTTCATCATAAATTATATTTTAGTTAATTGTGTATGATCTACCTGCAGATACATTATGAAACAACTACCAAAGTCTGTTTATCACAGGAAATAAAGACCAATTTATTATATTGTATTTTTTGGTTGGATAATGTGATGAAATTATTGAGAAAGGGGGATGGTAATTTTTCAATTTTACACAAAGTTATTATTATTGATCTTACTCAAACTTATATTTGTTACAAATGGAAACAATGATTCTTACAACATATTTGTGTGAATTGCAAACATATTTTTTCAAGTCTAGCAACTTGAGTAGCTACCTTAGGGCCATGAATTCTTTGTGATTTGAAATTTCACCTCATAAAAACAAAATTGTGAGATTTGACTGTGGTAGTTGCAGTTTATCTCACATTCAGACAAATAAAAACCCTTGAAGAACACAACAAAAACTGTTTTATACGTTTCTTGTGAATAAAGAAATGCGCATACTTGATTCAAATTGAAGGTTGATTCAAATTTATAGTAAAACGTCAATGGCAGTGGCTTTTGGAAAGTTGGCAGAATCCAAGGATGACTCTTTCTTTTTAATAGATTAAACTGTTAAACCTTTTAGGTACCTTAATAAAAAAGTGAATAGTGCCCGGTAATGGTGCCATTAGTGTTTGTTAGCTAAAGCTTCTGACCATAATTTATATTTGTAGTAAAAATTTTATGTAATTATTTTATTTTTAGTGTTTAACTATGAGAATTTCTTCGATAAGAAGATTATGGCAAAGAAGGACGACCAGTCTTATCGCGTGTTCAACAAAGTAAATCGCCTGGCAAAGAAATTTCCTTACGGACGCGCATTTAGTCATGGAAAAAATGGGGATGAGATTTCCGTTTGGTGCAGTAATGATTATCTTGGTATTGGACATCATCCCAAAGTTATGCAATCTGTTAGGTTGGTAATTATTTTGCTGCTGTTTTTGTCCTGAAAGGATCTATGAACCATTGAATATGAAATACTGCCATAGTTTGGTGGTTGGTTTGAAATTTGTCGTTTTGAAAGAATGTCGAATATAGTTCTACTGTCTCATTAAAGCTTTAGTTATGGGTACCAATGACATAGTAGTCATGCAACTGAGTGACAGTTACTTACATTTATCTTCTTTGTTTGTGTTAGAGATACTATGGAGGAGTACGGTGTAGGTGCAGGTGGAACTCGTAATATTTCTGGTAACAGCAAGTATCATGCAATGTTGGAAGAACGACTTGCACGACTGCATCAGAAAGAGGCTGGCTTAATTTTTACTTCATGTTATGTTGCCAATGACACAACCTTGTACACGTTGGGAAACTTTTGCCGGGTTAGTTTGGTTTTCTGCCTTTTTTGGATGATTTCCGCTAATATCCACAGAGTGTAATACAAGGATTTATGATTGTATCTTGCTAAAAGATATTTTTAATCTCGGTGACGTTATTCTTACACTGATGTTCTTACTCTGGACAGTTAAAAACCCTTGAACACTAGCTACAAAAAAAACGTTTTTCTTTTACGTTCGAACTAAGGATCTTTTTTATGATGACGAAATGCTCGAAACCCAATTCAAATTGAAGGTTGCTTAAGACTACTAGTTAAAAGGCAGTGATTCTGTGAAGCTTTGAACTATCTTAGGGTATCTTTTTGTATAAATTAAATAAAACTGTTGTTCTTAAAGGAAAAATTTTAAAGATTTAGTTTTTTCCGTTAATAAAATAATAAAAATCATTGGTATTTTAAGAACGTTGGTGTTATGTATTATCTGGTTTTGCAAGTGCTACGTATTTTCATAACGTTTGAAAACCTTTCTCATTTGTTTTATTTGCACCAATTACTCAGTTACCTCTTTATGATGGCTGTTTCTGTCATCACTTAAATTTTTTTTGGTTTCAGGTTGCCATATTTTTTCTGACGCTGGCAATCACGCGTCGATGATCCAAGGGATCCGCAACTGCGGGGCACCCAAACATGTTTTCAGGCATAACGATCCGGAGCATTTGGAAGAACTACTGAGGAAAGTCGACCCCAAGGTTCCAAAAATCGTCGCGTTTGAAACTGTCCACTCGATGGATGGTTCGATTTGCCCACTTGAAGAACTTTGTGACGTTGCTCGAAAATATGGTGCGTTGACCTTTGTTGATGAGGTAAGTTTTAAAGGTGTAATGTTCCACTCTTATGTACAGGGTGTGTACTTCACAGGAGGCTTGGTCAAACTTTCCCATTCTCGCATATGAACATTTTGTTAGGTTCTGTCTAATCTTCGGAAGCGAAGGCTAGAGGGTTGTGGTTTTATATATAAACTTACTTCTGTGTAGGCTACATTTATTCTCGATCTTTCATAAGGATCTCCATCTCTTACTTGAGCGAACGTTGTGTAGACACCAAGCAAAACTCGATTTGCGGCACGTACGACCACAAATTTTTAGTTGCAACGTTTGTCTTGCCTATTAGGTTCACGCCGTTGGTATGTACGGTGATCATGGTGCTGGAGTTGGCGAACAACGGGGGCTTCTCGACCGCATGGATATTATTACGGGAACTCTCGGTAAAGCGTTTGGTCTTATTGGTGGTTACATTGTTGGCTCGGCAAAGCTTGTCGACACTGTTCGAAGTTATGGATCCGGCTTTATTTTCACTACGTCGCTTCCTCCGATGATAGTCCGAGCAGCAATCACGTCTATCGACGTTCTAGCCGGTGACGATGGTGTCAAATTGCGGGAATTACATCAAAAAAACACCAAGCAGTTACGCAATCGTATTATACAAGCTGGAATCCCTGTAATTTACGCGCCTAGCCATATCATCCCCGTTCATGTAAGTTTTTGTTCTTCACACAATACTGTAGTTACGTAAATGTAGAACATGAAGGACAGTCTTCATAAAATTTTGTGTCGCTAATCTTTTCACTTTTTGATTGAGCCCCATTGCAGCAGTAATAGATAGCGCTGCGCATGAGAATGTGGTTGCTGCAACATTACTGAGACTACAAGATATGTTTATGTGAGTCTATACATGACTACGCACATGATATAAATTAATTTGTAACATAAATTTCTAATTAATTTGTTTAAGCGAATGAAAAAGTGCTCAATACCGCAGTTGAGCATATAGCTATTGATAATTTTAAATGAAGTTGACCAAACTCTGCACTATATTAAAACATTTTGTTAAATCTCGCATTGAATTACGTTTATTGCATCTGCTTTAGGTTGGCAACCCGGAGAAATGCACTCAAGTCTCTAACGACCTCATGAAGCATTACAATATCTACGTGCAGGCGATAAACTATCCAACAGTTGCACGGGGTGAAGAGCGCCTGCGCATTGCACCAACTCCGCATCACACCCCGGAAATGATGGACGAGTTTGTGGATTCGCTAGTTAATATCTGGAAAGCGAACGACCTGCCGTTTGTCTGGCCTGTGTGCAACAATGATTGTGGATGTCAGGCGCATTGTGACTCCGCCAAACAACGTGGCCTCATTTCTCAGCATTACTCTTTACCTTTAGCTGCTTGCGCTTGAATTTTACAGACTTTGTCATTTCCACTAATATCTCATTTTAATAATGTACAATTTAATTTTATCTTCATGGAACCATTTATGTAATAGACTGCAGCATATGAAATAAATTTTAGAATACCAAAGGAAAGGTGTTCTTTTACCGCCTGTATAGTTATGGGTAAATGATTAAGAATATACGACATATATTTACAGTAGTCAGCACAATTTACATGCATGTTAAGGCTAAGATGAAACTGATCTTACCTGGGTAAGGTGTAGCTTTTAGTAGACTCAATTTCTACATAGCCACATGTTTGTACCTTAAAACGTCGGGAAAGATGATGTGCTCTTTCTGACATTCTCTTTCATTATACCTGAAGATGGAGCAGATGTCAGTCATCAGAGCTGTAAGCCATGGCTGAGGATGTGAGGGATGCCATGTCTTGAGAAATCCTTTTGCCTTGTCCTTCTCTTACTTATCGTAAGCTGCTCCTGAGGAATCAACAATTTTCTTCCAATGTAGACGACAACCATCAAGATTGTTTAGGACCGCCTCACATTGCTGTATTAAATGTTGCGCGAATCGAACATTGTGGTGTGCAGCAAATGATTTTGTGTTTGAAAAAATGTCTTAATTTCTTTGTTCGCAAACCAGACGAACGGTACTAGGTTGCTAGAGCAACTAAGTTGGATTTCCAAATAATTAACTCTGGAACAGATTCGATCAAGTTTTCCATGGCCAAATCAGATTTGTGAGACGCACACCAGAAGTTAAATGTTTGATGGCCAACATATTTTCCATTCGAGCCCACAATCCTGATTTACGACCGGTATATGCAGACTCACCCTCTGTAGTCAGACCGGAATATTTTGCCTTTGTATTTGTATCATCGAGTCCAAAATATTTTAATGAAGAAACTACAGCATCTAACAAACCTTCTGCACTACGTTTCTCGACTTGCTTAACACACACTAAAATAGTCTTGTTGTGTCTGGTTATGAAAGTTTTCATGTTTTCGAAAACATGTCGATTGAATATCTTGGAGAGTACCGACACACAATACGCGTAAGCTACAGCTGCGGCGGAAACATGAAAACTTTCATAACCAGACACAACAAGACTATTTTAGTGTGTGTGTTAAGCTGTAGTTTCTTCATTAAAATATTTTGAGATGATACAAATACAAGCAAAATATTCCGGTCTGACTACAGAGGTGATCTGCATATCATCATCAGGATTGTGGCTCGATGGAAAATATGTTGGCCATCAAACATCTAACTTCTGGTGTGCGTCTCACAGATCTGATTTGGCCATGGAAAACTTGATCGAAGTTTTGTAAGTTTCTGATAGCTTTTTGTTCTTCGTTGTTAAGTGTGACTGGTCTTTTGAGGCAGAGGTTTGTCGTTACTTTGTGGCGAATGTCTTCTTTGATTTCTTCACTTAAGTTGGTGAATACAGAAGAAGCCAAGAAGAATGAACGCAACTACTTATACTCTACATTCATAAACAACAATTACCCACGAAACTTTATCAACAAAGTATTAAACAAAATACACAACAAACCACAAACTGAAAAACCTAACGAAGATACAGACGAACCAGTGAAAACAGTGACATTACCATATATAAACGGAACATCAGAAATGACATCAAGACTACTCCGACCATTAAAAATAAACATCGCACATAAAACAACACACAAACTCAAATCATACTTCACTAAACATAAAGACCGAACAACGACATTTGACACAACCAACGCGATCTACATGATACCATGTAAAGATTGCCCGAAACAGTACATAGGACAAACATCCAAGAAAATTGAAACAAGACACACTGAACACAAGAATGCCATCAAACGATGCGACCCAAAATCACTACCAGCAGAACATACCTACGATATCAACCACACATTTGACTGGACAAAAACACAACTTCTTGGACGCGCACAAACAAAACACGCACGAGAATTCAAAGAGGCATGGTACAGCAAAGACAACAACACAATAAACAGACATATTGACATCCCCATCATCTATTCACAACTAAAGACAAAACCAAAACAACAAACTAATAACAAAATGACTAAAATAAAAAACTCGAATTTCATTAACGCAATCCATACACCCGAAACCATGACAACGCATCTTATACCATCCAATAATATCAACTCAACTACTAACCATCCAATCAGACCCTCCAAACGCCTAGAAAATCTTTGTAAATAATATATTCTTACATTCTGACGAAAGCTCGAAGCACCGAGTTGAAAGCTTAATAAAAATTTCAAAATAAAAATCCATAGAGTCCTTAATATTATCATATATATATATAGTTCATTTTATAAGTTTGAAAATTTGTAATCCAGGCATTGAATATATAAAAGATAAACGTTTCTCCGGATAAAAATCATTTAAAAATCGGGAGAAACGTTTATCTTTTATATAGTTCATTTTATATATATATATATATGTAAAATGAACTAAAATAAAATGGACAATTGTTTGCTGTCGCTACTCGGAGTTTCACGCCGTAGGGCGATCTTCAGGCAAAAGTATGATTTGAGTTTGTGTGTTGGTTTATGTGCGATGGTTTATGTGCGATGTTTATTTTTAATGGTCGGAGTAGTCTTGATGTCATTTCTGATGTTCCGTTTATATATGGTAATGTCACTATTTTTACTGGTTCGTCTGTATCTTCGTTAGGTTTTCAGTTTGTGGTTTGTTGTGTATTTTGTTTAATACTTTGTTGATAAAGTTTCGTGGGTAATTGTTGTTTATGAATGTAGAGTATAAGCAGTTGCCTGAAGATCGCCCAACGGCGTGAAACTCCAGTAGCGACAGCAAACAATTGTCCATTTTATTATAGTTCATTTAATCTTACGCTCTTCTAATATATAGAATATTGAGCGCTCTTTTATCCAGGAATATTATCCGTACTATATATGCGCTCTTTTATCCAGGAATATTATCCGTACTATATATATATATTGATGAGAAGAAAATACACAAAAACTACAATTTCATCCCGACAAGACTGTTTCGTGATTTCTCACTCTTCAGGGGATAATATTAAATGAATACAAAAGCATGTGCTAGATTATATATACAAGAGGAAGTTAGGGTAAAAATTGAGATAGAATTACATAATATATTGAGTGTACGATTACAAATTACATAAAAGTGCTTTGTGTCTATGGCGACAAGAGGAGATAAGTTCGTTACGTTTGTTGAGTGATGATAGTTGTGGTTGGTAGGTGATAAAGATAAATGTTATTTGATTAGGTCCGCCAGCAATACAGCGTTTTCCTCCGCGCTTCTTAAGGCTGAAACACACTGGGCAGTCGCTTCAGTCGCGCGTCCAAAGCGAATTGATGCGCACGCGTCAGTCGCTTGAACGCTAGAAACACACATGCTGCGACCATCTCACTACTTTTACCGTGGCGTCTATTGCACATGGCAGTGATTTTAGTTTGTTACAGACACAGATATCACTTAGACTTTTTATTTTGGCCTTTATTATAGCTACGAATATATGAATATTTACTCAGTACAAACTACTATGTGGAGAAAAGAGAACAAGCCAGTTAAAACACGCCAATATGATCATAGTCCATACGCCATTACGCGTATATTGTGGATAATCTTATTCTGCGCACTTAGGTTGTGCATTAGGGTTCCAGTTTGTAGCTCCTATTGTCCCTATTTGATAAGTCATATAAAAACTGAAAGATTCCAGTGTGAATTCAGTATATATTGCCTTCGTTTTCCAAGGTATAATCTATAAATTTCTTATGATGCTTATGACAGGAAATATGATATGCATTTAGGAAGTTAAAATGTATCTATTGGCCAATCAGTGTAAGGCGACTGAAGCGACCAATGTCAAAAGTTCAACATGTTGAACTTTCAAAGCGACTAGCTGACGCGACTACGCTACTAGCTTAGTAACCACGCAAAGCGGTAGTTTTAGACGCGCGACTAAAGCGACTGCCTAGTGTGTTTCAGCCTTTAAGATTACTAGTAGAATACGCCATGTTGATATATGTGTTCAACTTTTACGTCACAAGTCATCAGCATACCGATCAAAAAGTTCGCAAAAAAAATGCTAAAAAACGTGACTTTGAACGTCCGTAAAATCACTTTCACCAATCCAATTTCAATTATAATTGCAGATTTAAAATCACTGAAACAAGGTCTTTCAATTTAGCTAATAAAAAAGGGTGCTAAAATTCGTAATGTAAACACTTTAAAGAAGGGCTTGTTCAATTTAACTAATTTTTACCCAAAGAGAACTATCAAAATTTGAGGCATTTTGCTGCAGGACTGCTATCTATGTTTGGCACCACATTCCTGTGTGGAAAAACTTTTTCTAGTATGTGAAAATGTAGTAATGAAGTATGTTAAAAAAACAGTTAAAGAACAAACATGTCAGATGAAAATCTAAGGGATCTTCTAATGCTTGGGACATCAAACCTAAAGCCAAACTTTTTCAAAATTTTGTCATCAAAAAGCCAATTTCACCATTCACATTGAGAAAACTGAACAGACTAATTGAGATTTTGTCATGATATTACTCTTGGTTGAAATTTAACCTTCTTAACTACTGAAGCTTGTGATATGTACTTCGTTTTGTTAAAATATTCGCTCTTTGACCAGCGGTATACGGTTCGACGGCCCTCAACACGCAGGATGAAAGTTCATGTGGCCCTCTGGCTGTAAAGTTTGGAGACCCCTGCTTTAATGGAATCATTAATCTCGAAATAAAGCTGTTTGTAATTGTATCTACTATCTGCTCTGATTGCTGGTGGGGCTACTTTTTCTAGTGCAGTTTGGTAAAACTCGGCGAAAGCTTGATCTGTGTGAAGTGATACAACAAACTGCTTGAAATTGTCAATCTTGCTTATGCCATAATTGAAATGGGTTTTCCTATTTTGAAGAATAGAATACAAAATTATTGCCTGTTCTAAAATCTTGTAAAAACACACACAAGAAAACAAGAGAGAGCTATTGAGATAATGCAGTAAGCCACTTACTTTACTTAATGACTCATCATCCCACCCAGCTGCTTGTTCAAGTACCCCCTGTGATATTATAAAATAACACGAAGAAATTGAGCAATTTCATTGTTTGAGAGCTATGATGTATAAGAGGCCAGATGCACGGAATTGACGTGAATAAAAATTTTTTCTTTTTAAATGAGAAACGAGCGGCGAATTTGTGTGAATATTTAAATGAATTTATCTCTGAATGGGCAAATAAAGAAATTACGAATGCCCATTCGAAGCAGTGGACGTATTTGAGCAAATAGAAAAGAAAAAACCCGGTTTTCAAACATTGATTGGTACTTCGTGTTCGATAACAAAATTTCAACAAAATTGATCAGCCATTGCTTGTTTATTAGCTAGCCAATCACATTTTATCACGCGATTAAGCTAGCCAATAGCATTTCTTCAACCCAATAGATCACGTAAGCGTGATATTTGCAAAATCAAGACTTTTCAATGTTTTTTTTAAGTGTTGGAGGACAAAGCAAGCAAACTGTTTGTATCTATAACTGTACAGAGTACGGTTAAATCTTATCTATTTGTTAAATGTGGGGATGATTAAAGATATTGTGAAAGAATTAGGAACATACATTTCGCTGACACTTTTGATCAGGTACAAGAACAAACCTTTTCTTCATACATTTCTTGTAAAGAAAATCAAGAAAATGTTTTTCACACAGATAGAGAAGGTGTGTGATTAAGTCATACCATTGGATGACAGAATGGGAATCATGATTTGCGGAGATGTACTACAACCACATATTAACACACAACCGATGCCTTCAAACAGGGTAATGTCCAAAAAAATAAAAGGTTGCAAATAATGAAAACAGCCCTTTGGGTCATTTGTTTACTATTGATGTGTTTACCGCATGCCGATGGGGTCCGGTAAAAGCATTTTACTTAATTAAAAATTTTAGACTATATAAAAAAGACAGCCTGGTTACAAATTCCATTACTATTATACGAAATAAGAATAATCTCTGCAGTGGTCGCCCATAAGCAGTGGCTTATGCAGGCATGACCTGAAAAACATCAAAAGTATAGCAATGTCAATAAGAAAAGATAATGGGATTATGATTCAAACAAAGATACAATTTTACAGAATTAATTGCTTGTCTTGGTTTGCAACCAATCTGGTGTGATTTTATAAAATAATTAATATTCACCCACACTACGTTTGGAACCCAAAATAGCATTGATAAAATATTTTTTGCATAATACCTCAAAAATGCATGACGAGAAAAACATCAATGCCCCTTAGCCTTGGATAATTAACATAAGAGGTCGTGGGATGTTTTGCCTCCGAGTATTCATCACGTACAAAACACTACTAATCAAAAAAATCAAAATGCTAATTTTTTCATCAGCAAATAAATGTATTGGTCGACTTCCATTCCGTGTAAATTGTTGGCATCACCCTGTAATCGCATAAGGAGACCACCAAACGAAACGTAAGCCGATCTAAAACATACAAAAGAGAAACTTTTGAAAAATCTAAACTTAGTGGATTTAAGCCTAAAGTACACCAGAGATTGCTGCTTTGCAAAATGTTATTCGTGGCAGCGAGCTTTAAACGGTGGTGGTTCTAAGGTAAGTTTGAATGTTTAATAATTCAAACTCCGCGAAAAAAATCATAATAGTAAAATTTTGGCTTTAATATCTTTTTTTAGATATTTCTGAACAACAGTTTTGTTGAGATGGTATTTTGACTTATGCCTCTGTCCTTTTCCTCTGCCGTGTGTGACTTGTAGCACTTATATTCAGAATGTTTCATATTTTCCTCTGTTTGTGGACTGAAAGTTAAGGATCAAGCTTACAGCAACTAGACAAAGCGCAGGCGTGTTAAATCAACGGACGAAAACAAAATGACGGGTTAAAGTCAATTAGATTTGGCGATGTAACTTAGGAAACAGTCCACCTTGCTATCCAGGATGTATAAAACACATAATAAAAACAGTAACAGGTAGTTGGACTTCTATTGCTTCATATAACTTTAAAACGGTCGCCATATAGTAACCATTTTCAGAGCGAGAATTGTGTTACCAAGAAGCAGTTTTAAAATAGCTCGAGCACAAAATGACAAAGCTATCACAACACGTTGAGTTAAATTATGGCATATGTTGTTTCAGATAACAAAATTCCAAGAAATTTGGCCAATATGTACGCGAATGCTAGACGTTAAAATCGTAAATTATGTTGCATTTTTCCTATTCAAAGGCTTTTTTTAAATTCTTCATCAATTTTGTTGCCAGCGAGGTGCCAGAAGCACTTGACGAAAACGGATACCGAAAACACTAAAATTTGACTCGGACGCCACTACAAAACGGAAAGAACAGACTTGGACAAAATATACTTTGGTACAACCCTCCATACAGCAAAAACGTCCACACAAACATTGGCCACAAATTTCTTTCAATAATCGATAAGCACTTTCCCATAGACCACAAACTTAGGAAAATATTCTACCGTAACACCATCAAACTCAGCTACATCTGCATTAATAATATCGAACAAATAATCAGCAATCACAACAAACATATATTAAAAAACTCAGACAAAACCAACGACAACACAACGAACAAAAGACACAAACAAAACATGCAACTGCCGACAATCATCCGTTATCTACCAAGCAACTGTGAAACGCAAGGACAATAACACAACTGAGACGTACATTGGACTTACAGAAAACGAACTTAAGACTAGACATAAAAGTCACACTGCCTCTTTCCGCCACAAAAAACTACAAAACTCGACCGAACTCAGTAAGCACATTTGGACCCTTAAAGACAGCAGCATTGACCACGACATTTCATGGAATATCATCACATATGGCAAACCATACAACACAGCACCAGTGAAAGATGCAATCTTTGCCTCAAAGAAAAACTATTCACCCTCTAACAACCATTTAAATCATCTCCCAATAAAAGTGACGAACTTGTTTCCTCTTGTCGCCACGGATTCAAAACATTCTTATGTAATTTGTAACTATACACCTTAATTAATATGCTCACTTCCGTCATCTTGTATGTATATTTTAAACATTTAAGTTCATTAAGTCTCCTGAAGAGCGAGCAATCACGAAACAGGCCTGTCGGAATGAATCTGTAGTTTTGGTTAATTATTTTCATCATCATTACATATATTTACGATCAGCTTTCGGGCGTCGAGCACTGTTTTATACGGAAAATCATCACATACAAACTTACTATTATATATATTTATTTATATACAGTTATTTACATAATTAGAGGTATCCGATTACTATGGATGTGTAAGTGTAATGTGATGTACAGTACCGCTCACGTATATCTTAACACTCTTTTGCGTAAGATTAAATTCTCCCTTTCTTCCACAGAACAATAATTTGTTACTTAACGTAAGATGAAAGCCTTTTATCTGACATATATATCCAGTTATGAGTGAGAACTCTGGTAACTACTTCAGGTATAAATAGTTTGAATGATACATGCGCATACGTACATAACCATGTATCTGCTACGCGTATCACACGCGTGTCATACGCACATTATATGTATTTGTATCCTACGGGCATGGTACGCGTATATGCGCACATTATATTTGTATCCTACGCGTACCATAAACAGTAATAGGTAGTTGGACTTCTATGTTAAGATATACGCGAGCGGTACTGTATAGATAAGGTGAGGTGTTGAGACTGTGATGTATAGTTAAGGTGAGGTGTTGAGACTAAAACGACAAGAATTTGAACCTAGGACGGCGTGATCACCGCACCGACAACTGTACCCCTTAGCCAGAAAAGAGGCATAACGTCAAGCACAAATATCCCAACATCACTTTCACCTCTGAGACGAAAAATAATGGACGACTGCCATTTTTAGACATTGACATTTACCGCTCAAACGACAAATTCACCACCTCTGTATATCGTAAACCCACGTTCACCGGTCTTTTCACAAACTTTCTCAGCTATATCCACTTTCTTATAAACGCATCTTAATCTTTGGCCTATTACACCGCTTTTCCAACCTCTGCTCCAGTTATGAGACTTTTCATGCACAAATTTGAAACCACTAGAAAACTACTCAAACTCAATTGCTATCCAACAAATATGTTCGACCACATTGTGTCCCAAAGAAAATAGTGTATTTCTGTCTCCCATTCACCGGCTGTCACTTCTTGCTAACCCGCACACAAATCAATCGTCTCTACAACGCTGCTTTCCCTCATCTCAATGTCAGATTCGTCTTTCGCACCCCCACACGAATCTCTTCATTTCTTCCCTCTAAGGATAAAATTCCCAAGTCTCTCAGATCTGGTGTCGTTAATTTTCACTGGTGATCCAGGTAAGTTACCACTAGTAGCAAACCATGTTTTTCCTTATGCAAAACCATCAAGCACTATTGGTGAGCAGAGCATGGCGTTTTAAAGCATAAGAAATGTTTGATAGAGCTAACAAATTTACGAGTGCAAGCTATGACACCTGAACAAACAAATTTTAAAAAGTTATCGTTAAACCTCCACAAATGCCAATCAACAAATGATGATTGGAAATTACTTCTGTCTCGTCAAGGTTAAAAAGACACGAATTAGCAAGTAAGCTTGAACATCCAACTGACGAATAAATGCTCGCCATTTGTTAGAAATGGGAAAAAAAGATACTTTCTGATGACATTAGTCTTACAAGCAATTTTTTTAGCAAAGGCGACAGAGTTATGCTAACCATAAATTTTTGGTCAACTGCAGGGCTCTGTAATGAAGCTACAGGAACGGTTGTTGATATTGTTTTGCACCGGTCTTGCCTATTGCAGCCATAGATTTTCCAGGCGGAAGACGTAATCTTATAATGAATATTAGAGCCCAGATTATTGCAATAATATGAATTGCTATTGTAAATCTAATAATGTATTAATGAAAAAAATTCATTGACGTTTCCTCGCAACGCGCGATATCAATGGTATAAAGTTACATAATAAATGACATAGAACTTAAGAATATAAATGACAGAGCACAACTCTTTATATAACAATTTCTGGCGACGAAGATAAACCTAGACGATACATGCAATGCTGGACAATGAAACGACAGAAGCACCGGTAACAATCATCAACAGACATCTTAATTAAAGTGCATCTAAACCTTACGTGGTTTTTAAACTATCCCATGTACGTGGTGTCAAACGCCATTTTCCAAAGTTTTGCTGTAATCGGACAAATAGTTTGCGCTGCAAACCCCGTCAAAGTTGCAAAATTATACCATTTTAAGAGCTCGGTTTTACCGCTATAAGACAGGGACTGCGCATCCAGCTGACGTCATGTAAGTAACACGGGTCTGAACTATCGTAAAGATACATGAAAAGTATAGCAAAATGTTGTCATATAAGGCCAACTCAGTCCACTATAACCGACAGGTTTAACGTTTTCTGCCCATAAGGCAAAGGCCTTCACTCATTCCTTATAATGGGTCCGCCAATCTTGTTGAAATAAGTGGCTCGACTTTGTTGCGTTAAAGCGAGTAAAATGCCCAAATATCAGCTATGTGTAGTATTTGCATAATACATTTAAATCAAAGAACTTGACTAAGCGATATATTTTAATTTGCAAAACAAGCAAGCTTGTTTAGAAGCTTTGTTCCCAGTCATTGCTGGCCGAATCTTCTCTTACGTATATGCGACACAAAAAGCGCTTGTTTATATGAGAGCCGGGATGGATTGACTCCCGAAACGGGAGATGAACGAGACCTCGGATTTTATACATTTTCTAAATGTAATTGTGGAAACGAGACTTTTTTTGTCTAGGAACGGTTAGTCGGAATCGATATTTTTAACCGTGATCCAGAAGAATGCAAGGTGTGTTGGCAACATCCATCGATTATATCTCACTTTGCCAGAAATTGAACAATTTCATACATCTGCTAGCAACATTACACAACTTGTTTACGACATTGATTGGCAATAAGTAGACATTGTTATCATGAATCAAGTAGTTCCAGGCTGCGTTAAGTGAAAGAACTCGCTTTAGGTCTGAAATTGAAGGCTTCAATGACGAGATTATAGCATAACATGTAGATACCTAACAACAGCAAAATGAGACGATGATATCAGTATTTTTCTTGCGTCTTCACGAGAGTTTATTTATCTTTAAGATTGCAGCTGACCTGTAAAAAGAAAAATAAGGTTACAAAAAATATCTGCTGGTTTAACACGGATATCTACTATCAATAAACGTATACAAGATTATTTACGTTTATATATTTAGTGCTTCAGCATGGAGATCACGTGATTAATTTTGAAAATATGCCACCGGAACCTTAAATAAAAAGGTTCAGCTCAAAAGAAAACGTAAAAGAAAAAGAACAAAAAGTGCTTAACTTTTTCGTTAGTTGGAAGCAGGCCAATAAATATTGGCCACCCATCAATTGACCAAGTCAACGCGATGGTGTTTTATTACTTTCGATAACTCATTAGTGTTGTTCTTCTAACATGTCAACACACTATGTTTCAAACTTTCGATATCGTCACCTCCTTACCTTAACAGAATCCCAAACTGCTTTGTGATCACTAAAGTAAGTTTCAAGAGTACTTGTTTGGATATCTTCTTCCATCAAATTTGTATAGACGTGATCAATCAATGTTCCATTATCTGTAATAGAACTAGATATAAGTTGCTCGAGACCTTATTCATTGATCATGAGATTGTACAGTGACCTTCGTACTGCTTCATCACGCCAATTGACATTAAAGTCGCCAATGATTAAAATCTGTGAAGAAGGACAGTGCAAGTGTTGGAGATCTGTATATAGCAATTACAATTAAGTCTGGGTGTTCATATGTCTTCATCAAAGTTAGCTCGATTCCATGATAGTTTCTTACACATGGATATCCTGTCATCATGGAAAGTCTGAAATATACAGCTGCTCCGTGATATCGACGATTATTATTCGAAATGTCGTCATTTCTGTATAACTCATAGCCCCCTAATCGCATACATTTCATCAGGATCCTGTGCACTAAATGTTGTTTCAGTAAAAATTAGGATGTCGCCTGACGAATAATTTATATCTTTTCTAACCTCTTCAATATGTTTGTGCAAAGAGCTTGCATTGAGAAAAGAAATTTTCAAATCAGTGTGATTTAGCATGTACAAAGGAGTAAAACAAAGATCTACTTTACAGTCATTTCTTAGCAAATGCATTTCTTCTACAACTTTAAGATCAATGCGAATCGTACTCTCACAAAGATCGGTTATAGACCTTAGATCTGATATAAATAGACCTTCTCACGCTTTTGAAATGTTATACTCCAAGATTAAGCAAGAACCCATTTATGAGCCTTCTGGATTCTACCCGGAATTCATAAGGACTCGGATAAAAGACATCGCACAATCCGGTCTTCGCAGTTATAATCCACCAAACTTTTATACTTAAAGACAGACATCAAAGCGTTGAATGATTTAACAACGTATTGAAATAATAATCAAAATGTCTTGCCCACGTTACTGGGTCACTTTGAATAAGTCGACACATTTCCTCCAAATTGAGGTTATTCCATTTTTCATCACTATAATCCTTGTGATCAATAAGTTTTCAAAGAAATCTTAATAAATGATTCCATTTCGTTTCTGCAGATGAAAAACTGTCAAATCATAGCAAACAAATCCTTTTTTGCTCTTTCAAAGTAAGGTGGTGAGCCCCTGAGGGTTTTGAGAAATCTAAAATCATCATCGTGGTTGATTAGACTTTAAATACCTTCGGTAGTTTTTAGGTCTCCAGCAGTTAGTGTTCTGTGGCCATTTTGTTTTTTCGGAGGGCATTTTGGGCTTGACCAAGCAAGAATTTCACTTGCAAATTCTTAGCTTTGTTTATCACCTGGTCTTTTTTGTCCATGAAATGTACCTGGATATGTCATTTCTTCCGAATACAGATCTCTATATATACTCAATGGTATATTACCTTCACCGAGTGCAACATTATAAATTTGCTGTCTTTCACTATCATTAACAAAATCTGAAGAAGTCAACATACTATAAGTCACTCCAGCTGTTATCTCGGCTTTATCTTCCCTCCATTCATCTTCAAGAGACTGACAAGTTGTTGTTGTTGTATTATCATCTACATTAGTGTGCAATAATTCCATGTTATCAGAGGTTTTATTCATCGAGTCTTGAAAGCTTCTCAACCAATTACTGTTGATAATGATTCCTTAATCGTGATAAAAAGGACTTGTATTAATCAACCAAGAATCTGCTTGCATCACTTGGTGTGGTCTTATGTTCATTGAAAGTGCAGAACTTTTGTATTGTAATCTTCGTTTAAGTTGTACTTTAACAGTACCTGTCTCATCTGATAATCTAGGCAGCATATTTACTGTGCTGTTGACATCTGCAGGAACATTAACGACATTACCAGTAATCTTGAGTTGGCCACCTCGGGGGGCCTGAAATAATTTTTGAAATGCCAATCTAGGGGCAATAAGTCGACATTCAAGTTCATTTAAATCAAAGAAAGATGGTTTTTCAGGAAATTTCATAACATTAGCAATTGCAGAAGGTGGGAGTTTCCCTTTCAAGTGACTGTTACAGGTTAAACAAATCCATTCGATATTACCAAAACGTTTTATATTCTGCAGATCCTGAGTTATGTCACGATCGAACAATCTTAATTTGTCTGCAGGAGAGACAGAATGTTTATACCACAATTGATCACAGCAAATGAAAACATATAGAGGTCCTGTGGATATAGAGTTATGAAACTTGGTAATATGTGTACATATGCCAAAATCTTTTCGTGGCAAGCAACAATTTATTGCATTTGTAGTTCCAACTGAATGCATTTCATTACCTTTATGTTTATGATGCTTTGTAGATTGTGCATATTTTCTAGAAGCTCTTTCTTTCTCTGTCTTTTGCAAGTCTAGCTTCTCTTTGCTCATCGGTCTCATTTCTTCTTCTAGCTTTTTTAGCATTACTGTCAATGGCAAGTGTACTTTTCCTTTGTTCAGCAATCTTACTTTATCTTCTAGCTTTTTTAGCATTACTGTCAATAAGACAACTTTCTCTTTGCTCAGTAGTCTCATTTTGTTTTCTAGCTTTTTTAGCATTACTGTCAATGGCAAGTCTACTTTCCCTTTGCTCAACAGTCTCATTTTGTCTTCTAGCTTTTTTAGCATTACTGTCAATGGCAAGTGTACATTGTCGTTGCTCTGCCATCTCATTTTGTCTTCTTACTTTTTTGCAATTATTATCTTTGGCAAGCCTAGTTTCTGTTAGCTCACTGGTCTCATTTAGCTTTTTTAAACTATTGTATTCAATCATTTTTGCAACTCTAGCGTCACTTTGTTTGGTTGATTCATTAGTTCTCCACCTTTTTCTAGATGTTTGAATATTTCTAATGCTGTCCACTTTTTCTGAGTTTATGTTTGATTGTTCAAATTGCTCAGCAGGTCTGCAATACTTTAATTTTCAGTACCTTTTGAATCAAGCCCTGTGTCCATATCCTCATTAATAATGCACTTTACTCCCTTTAATTTAAATGGTACTAAAATATTTGTCTCACTTGACTTTGATATTAATCGCAAATACTCTGCAAGATTTTCAATTCCTTCCAGTGATATTAAAATACAATAACCCAATGCACACGGTCTACCATATAAATCCCGTAAATGTGAATCAAACACTTTAAACACATTGGGAAAAGGCATCATTATTGCTACAGTATTCAAACCAATTGTGACTAAACAACTTTTATAGTTTAATGAATGAAATACTTCATTCAGAGCATGCTCAAGAGTCACATATGGGAGACTATTTTCACTTAAATATAATGCTCCTGAATAAGAACTGCTTTATTGCATATAAAATGTATGATTATCCAAGTCTACATACTCAGGGACATCAGTTAGTAATAAATAATCCTTATTTATACTTTGGATTATCACACCATATAAATTGTTTCCATAAACTAAAATTGTGTTTAAAATTGACTGATCCCAAAGACTGATCGATTTAATTTCTTCATAAATGATTGCATATAATGACATGGCAACACATTGCTTACCAACATTTATACAAAACATCAAATCAATACCTTGATTAAAATTAGCATGTACTGTATGGGCAGAATCAACTATATCATTTATAGTCCTAGGGCCTGAATTTTCCTCTACATCATTTGAAAGTTTTAGTGTTGTGGTATCCCTTACCAAATAAGGTCTTATATTAAAATGAAAGAAAATAATTAGCATATTATTATACTAGGAGTTACTACTGCCAGGCATTTGCTGCCTCTCGCACCGAGTAGGGCAAAGTGCCCTTTGCAAATTGCTTTTGGGTGTTTTCCATCATTTATCATCTGTTATGAGCGACACAATACCAAATGGACAGAGGCATTTTTTAAAACATACAATTGATATGATGAGCAACAAACTGCAATATCTTGTATATTTTGTAACTTAATATAGACAAAGTAACTGTATCACCTTTTATTTTCAAATTCTCATATAACTAAGTCAATTTATAGAAGAACATGCAAGAAGTAACACTGTGGTATGTATAATATACAAATATTAAATTGGGAATAATTGGACGAGCAGTTTTCCAAAGTTCATTTTACAAAATTTGCATGCTAAAGGCAAGCGGTAGCAAAGCAATTGCTTCATTAAAATTATTGATCTTTACATGTATATGTTGCATTGGACATGAAAGTGTGAACTCAGCCAATAACCAATTAAATCATGTCAACTGGAGCCTAAAGGATAATTTCTGTATTTTGTTCAATTTGTTGCCAACCAGCACAAGATCAACACATCCATTAACACCAACAATTATATGGTGTAACTATATTATCTGATTTTATCTGGATTCATGTTACTCAGTAATTTTCAGCAAGGAATCACTTTTATACACAAATAAACTTTAATGGTACATTCCATGTTGCGGTCATTATTCATGAACATTAGCATTCTATTTACATACATTATACATACAGTGATCATGAGGATGGAATTGATTTGTTGTATAGGACTGATTACACATTACTTTAACAAAGGGGAATGGGACTTATTGGACCTATTGGTCCATGTCTTTCACAAACTGTAATGTTTCTTCCTTAAAATATTAAAATGCACTGCTATATAAGTGTCACGCGCTCGGAAAGCCGACGGCAAGCTCGAGTGAGCATAAGTATATCCGCTATAGGTGCTTTACTTGCGACGATTATAGAGACGTCCTCGCAAATTTAACATAAAATTCATAGCCATTTTGAATGAAAACTGTTTTTTAGATAAATACTTTATTGTCATTTGTCATCCAAACGCTTTGTGAAGAGTAAAATCGTCGTTCACGGAAAAATCGAACGAAATTTTCTTCTGTAAATGAACAGAGTCAACAGAGTGATGATCAAATGAGTTTGACATGTCAAAGCAAAACTTTCCCGTTAGTTCATTAGTTGAGTTGTCCTTGGAAAATTCATAATTTGTCTAAATTCGTCGAAAAAGGTGAATATGTTGACTCGTTTATAGAAAAGGTCAGAATTTATGCTGAAGAATGTAAGTACACAAATATTGAGGAACATATAATTGATGCTTTGATTTTTGGTTCAAGTGATTCTCGGGTACAGGCATAATTACTTAAACACGATGATTCCCTCACATTGAATAAAGCTATTGACATTGCTCGAACTGTAGAAGACACTACATCACAATTGGCAGATATAAGAAGTAATGAACTTCATACTACAATTATAAACACTTTAAAAAATTGTGACAATAACAAACAACATTTTGGCAAATCTCTTAAAGCATGCAGCAATTGTGGCACGAAACATGATCAAACTAAACGTTCACTGTGCCCAGCATATTCACTGTGCCCAGCATCACGAGTTGCATCATTGGAAAGAGTTTGTACATCAGAGGAAAAGAAACCGCCTAAGGATTTAACAAAGATAAAAATATTTCAGAAATAAGTTGACAAGACATTTGGAGATCTTCCTGGTGTGATTGAGATCGCTGATGACATTATCGTTTTGGGAAAAACGCTCGATGAGAACGACCAGAACTTGAAAGCAGTTAGGGAGCGTGCTAGACAGACAGGTATTTCATTTAACCCAGAAGGGTGCAAAATTGCATGCAAGGAGATATCCTTCTTTGGTTACGTTATTGGCGCTGACGGTCTTAAACCCGATCGAGGAAAGGTAAAAGCCATCAAAAATATGCACCCATCAACCAGTCGCGCAGACATTAGAACATTTTTAGGAATGTTTCAAGTTCTTAGTAGATTTATTTCCAATCTAGCTAAAGTTTCAGAAGTATTATGGGACCTTATAAAGAGTTCCAATGAGTCCCAGTGGTTTGCAGAGCAAATCCCTCCGAAATCACCCAAGTATTTTGACGAAGGTAAACCCGTGATCATACAAGTAGATACGTCAATGCGTGGTCTAGGAGAAACACTGTATCAAGACAAAGGTCCTGTGGAATACCGCAGTAAACTCCTTACTGAAACAGAGTGTCGTTACTCCAACATTTACAGAGAAATGCTTGGCATCGTGTACGCCTTAGAAAATTTCACTACTACGCATATCGCCGTCATGTAATCGTAGAAACAGATCGTAAACCGTTGCAATCAATTTTCAAGAAATATCTTTCGAGTGCACCACCTTGCATTGCTAGGATGATGCTTCGCATTCGAAAGTATGATGTTGAAATTAAATATGTCCCAGGAAAAGATATACCATTGGCGGATGCACTATCGAGATTAAGCCCGTGCGAAGAAGAAGCAATATCAGGACTTGATATGTCGATAAATGAGTTAAATATGCACCTTAATGCAAGTCCAACGAGAATCCAACAAATTCAGAAACCTGAAACCGACAAGGATCCTATTTTAAATGTACTTAAATCTTTCATAAGTAATGGATGGCCAGACAAAAAGAGCAGATTGTCTTTTCCACTTACACAGTTATTGGAACTATCGTGAGGAATTAACAGTAGTTAATGGCTTAATCCTTAAAGGAACCTAGTGATTCCAAAGAAATTACAATCAGAAGTTTTGGAGCAGCTTCACTATGCACATCAAGGCGGAGAAAAATGTAAATTACGAGCGAAAAGTTCCGTCTTCTGGGCAGGTATTAATGTTGATATTGAGAATATGGTAAGAAATTGTAATCCGTGTCAACACAATCAAAGAATGAATGAAAAGGAGCCCTTAACACCTTATGATATACCACCCAGAGCATGGCACACTCTTGGTTCAGATATGTTCTTTTGGAACAATAACTCATACCTTCTTGTGTCCGATTATTACAGTAAGTTTCCAATTGTTCAAAATTGTAAGAAATTCAGTCCAACACTGTTATAGAGCACATGAAATGCATATTTGAAGAGCATGGAATCCCTAACAAATTGGTAACTGGTCATGACATTCAGTTCACCTCATCAAGTTTTCAAGAGTTCAGTAAGTTATATGGCTTTAATCATATAACAACAAGCCCGCACTACCTTCAATCTAATGGGTTTATTGAAAGAAATATACAGACTGTAAAGTATCTTCTACAGAAGTGTAAAGAATTCGGTTCTGATCCACACTTGGCAATGTTGTGCCCCCGAACAACACCTATCAACCACAATCTTTCTTCACCTGCAGAATTATTGAATTCGAGAACATATCAATATAATCTACCTGGTGTGACGAAACCTGCCTTATTTGTGGAAAATCAAGACATTAATGCTAAGCTGCAGGCCGCCAAGATCAACAAAAGTTCCATTATGATAAAACATCAAGAGGACTTTCAGAAATATACCCTGGTCATGACGTTAGAGTATTTAACCCTTTTAGTCACCAATGGGATTCCGGTGTAGTTCAAAATAAAGGACAGACGCCAAAATCGTATAGTGTCGATTTATTTAGTGCTAGTACTTTGAAACGTAATCGTCGCCACATTCGTCCTATCCCAGAGCCGAGTAATGACGCTGGGGATGGTGCCCAGAATGCTAGAACAAATGATGTACAACCCGCTACAGCTGAAAACAATGCTCCAGTTTCGTCAATTAACAAGGTAACACAATCGGATGAGTCTCCAGAGCACAGAAAATTCACTCGTATAAGGAAACCTCCGGACAGGTTACAATATCTGAAATAGTTAATTTAGTTATGTTTAAACTCTGATTATGACTTTATAGTATAATGACGTTAATAACTTTAGAGAAGAGGGGATGTTTGGTATCCCGTACCAAATAAGGTCTTATATTAAAATGAAAGAAAATAATTCAAAAAATCACTGTTCTTTTTACTCTTAATCAATTGGCCTTTTAGATAAGGCAGGCAGAATACATTTAGGTAAAACATTAACAGTATTTGATTCCAAAGGTCCCCTTTAAGTCGACTCAGACTGTTGTAACGGTCAGTAAAATTGTGGTTTGAACCAAATCTTCAGCGATAAACTTCAATAGTTAAGGCGGATCTCCACTAGACGATTTTTATGACGATCGTCTTAAAAATTCGCTGCGCCACATGCGCAGTACGAAATAAAATCGTCAACAAAATCGTCAAAGACGATTGCAACTTGCAATGTGAAATTGAGAAAATGGCCGATGTGAATCAAACTTTAATGCATTATTTACTTCTTCGAAGGCATTTGATTTTATTGCATGCATGTAGAGTAAGATCTATGAAAACAAAGCGAAAACGACCAAGATTTTGGATGCGTATACTGTACGAGGAAAGAAATGAGAAAGGAGAGTA